TGAGTGGCTTTCACCCTGGTGGGTATAGATAAGCATGTGACTTGAGAGCAGGAGCAAGGTTGCCTGATTCACATGAATTAGCTAGTTCTCAGGGTGAAACAATTATTTGCAACGCTCACCCAAGCAAATTGATGAATCCAGGGTGAACAGAATCAATGCACTGGCATTTGCCAAGCACAGATTTAGATTAAAACAGAATAAATTAGTTCCTCTTAATCAGTTATTGCCTCAAGTAGGTGAGCTGAACAAGAGATGTTAAGGTACACATTGAGTGCAAACTATCTTCTATTTTCAGATGAAGATGCCAAGCAAAAGACAGGGAATATAAACAGACAGTGGATATAAAATTGTAGCTCAGTGGGGAAAGAAGGTCTGTGAGAAACTCCATTTCTTCCTCTGAATTGTACCCAGAATAGCACTGACTCCTATTTGCATAGACTGTTCAGAATGTAGGCTTTTAATTTATTGTCAGATAAAATACAAACACCTGAAGTCTGAGTGACTTCGTGTTTGGAGTTTCCAATCTGGGGTTACAGACTGTCACCATGTAATGACAGCATTATTTGAGGCTAATACTGCAATTAATTTCTTACCACTATGCCCAGCCAATGTTAATAATGAGCCATGCTGTTATCCAGCATAACTTGGCAGAGACTCTTGCAGCAAAAGAATCCATAACCATGTCTGACAGTCTGTCCAACTGAGAGGATGGGATGCCTAGCAAGGGAGCATCATTTTGAGGATGGACATAATATGTTTTATGCTTGCAAGTCGTGCTCAGCCAAAGTGAGAGCTAGTCTCCTGATGTTAAGAGTCTAGCTTTTTTCCAGTATAGCTGTTCACAAAATAATTTAGAGAGTAAGGCATGCTACGAAGTAATATTGATGTGCGTTGTGAACACACTCTGAATAAATAAAGAAATGCCAACCTGAAGATGCATTTTTTTTTGTTGGTGGGGAAATAATAAACTATTTATGATTTTCTTATGATGTTTCATTGACATATGGTGCTTCTAACCCAGTGACAAATTAATTGACTTGGTTTAAAAAGAAATGAGTGCAGCTTAACGAAGAAGGACAGGATATGTATTACAAGGCAGCTGGTTCTGCCACTGCTGGCTTATGGAGACAATATACATCGGACAGCCTAATGAGTCTCTCTGTTGCATAAGATAGATTCTCTTTATAATAGAACTGCACGCTTTGTCTCTAAATGGGGTTATTATACACACCATTGCACAATGTTTGAAGAGCTTGGTTGGCCCTTGTAGAGGGTTAGGAGAGAAATAAATTGGAAAACAATCGTACTTAAGACCTTCAATCCATCAAACACTCCATATTTATCTAAATTACCAGAACGCTCTCCCAAAATACAAATCTGTATGATACACACAGCTAGAATGTTAATGCTGACCGGTCTTCACTTTGGTTTTATCAGTTAGGTTTTCTGTTGTAAACACAGACCAAAATTCGTGCACACTGAAGCCTGGTAATGCATTTCAGCCGCTGTCCCCCACTCCTTTCCCCTCTGCTCTCCTCGTTTCCATTGTCTTGGTATTCATTTGGTATTCTCTCCACCCACCGCCAACACACATGCATCACTTGGCCTGGATGATGTAACTCAGAACTTTTGACTTTGAGTGCTGCAACAGTTTTAATGGTAATTCACTAAGCTTCTTCACTTTTCTCCACACTTATGAGTCCTCACTGTTCAGGCGCTCAGTTATTCTTTAGAATAAATCCATTTCAATTCCTTTTATGGCCTTGGGAAAAAACTGGGAAGCAGAGATAGGGGAAGACAGGCTACATGGTGGCCTCATTCACCCTGTACATGAAGATTGCACGTCCTGTTAGAGGGCGTGGGTGGAGCCCACTCAACTGGTCTAGGCCCTGGGTGCCAGGAGCTGAGTCATGCTATTATCTCTATGTGCTCTCATCTGGCTGCCCAAACAATTTCATCTTCTGTCTCCATTCTTCTACTGATAGTATTGTGTAGCCTTTAGGAATTAGGTAGCACGATTTCCTCCAGATTCTTTCAGGGTTATAATATTTCAAGCCCCAGAGGAGGCATTGCATGGGAAAAGTGATTCCTGAGTATATCATGACTGGGTTTTTGACTTGTCACACTTTGGGCTTTTGGATACACCATTCATTCCTATTGACCTTGGGATTCTCACTTATGAGACGAGGTAGCAATATTTGCTTCTTCTAGCCTCTCTCCTCTGTGTCTCTTTCCTTCCTGCCAAGAGTGGTTGAAAAGTGTTACGCCTGGGAAACATTCGAAGATTCTTGGAGTAAGACGATCTTTTCAGTTTAAGACATTATTATATCCCAAACCAGATTGCTTCCTCCTCGTCTTCGTGGGGTTCTTTACTTTTCAAGCCCACCTGTGTTCTGGTATAGAGGAAGGGGAGCTGAAAGAAACGGACAAAACAGTTTCATGGGCTTCTCCACGTATTTATTACCTTCTCCAAATTGAATCTTGAAGCCTTGTCAGAAATGTTATTTGTCCAACAGAGCAGGCATTAAGTGGCTATAGAAAATAAACTCACCTCCTGACATCTTTCCCATTGCTTGCTACATCCATTTACTGGGAAGATTATATTATAAGGTGTGACGGGAGGTGTTGTACACAAAGGAAAATCACCACTTTGTAATTCTATTTGTTCAAGTTTTCTTTTGCACGGGCTTTTGGATTTCCTTGTCATTTCTGGAATTATTTCTTAAATGGTGAGTATTATTTTTGGATACGTGTTTCTCCAGAATCTTGTTCTATCCAACTAATTCTTAAGTTGCATGCATTCTTTTGAAAGTAGAGTCATGTTATTTGTGATAAAATTTCTATAATTCAGCCAGGGGGAAGGAAAATCTAAAACAAATGGTAACAATGAGTAGTTAATGAATTTTCTTCTACCGATTTTTTTTTTTTACTGACTCTCATGTCCTCTGTCAAAAACAGATTATTTGATGACAGTGCTAAGAATACATAGCTCCAGGTAAAAATTAGTTTCCATTTGCTTAGATGTGTCACTTATTGAGAGAGGGCTTTTACTTATATTTTTTTCTCTAACATAATTACCTTAAGGAAATAAATATGTACAGAGACAAATGAGTAGACAGACTAGTCTTTATCAATGTTTGTTCAAATTATTGCAGTTTAGAGAAATGGGAATGCAGAACTGAGATGCCTAAGAAATAAATCTTCCTTTGTATGTAGTTTTTTTTAGTTCAAGAGTCTGAAAACACCTTACAAGCAATTAAACTTTAGGATACAAATGGGAATTCTATATTGTTTGTTGGTTAAATTCAACTACAAAATTATGATTTGCCCTGGGTTCCTAGAAAGCCCTTTCTTGTAGTTCTACAAATGTGCACATCCTAGTTTTCTTTTTATCTATTCTCTCACACTACTTCTAGATCTCTGTTCTTCCTGTGTCATATTTCTTAAAAGACTGACTTTCTTTACTTCCTACTTCTGATTTGTTCTCCAGCTGTGTAACTTTTGCTCCCTTAGTGTTATTGCAAACTCTCTAAGGTCATGGTGTCATCCTAATAGGCCTCCCCCAAGGCCATTTTCAACCCCTCTCCCATTTTTTCTCTTTGCCCATCTGGTATTACTGACCACTCATATCATGCCTCCTTTTTTGTTTCTTTTTTATTTTTAAAGATTTTCTTTATTTACTTGACAGAGAGAGAAAGAGAGAGCACAAGCAGGGTGGGAAGGAGCAGAGGGAGAGGGAGAAGCAGATTCCCCGCTGAGCAGGGAGCCCAATTCAAGGTTGAATCCCAGGATCCTGGGATCATGACCTGAGCCGAGCGCAGATGCTTAATGGACTGAGCCACCCAGGCGCCCTGTGCCTCTTTTTTTAAACATTGCCATTTCCTGGCTGGGGGACATTTAGTTACTCTCTCTTGCCCCTTTTCTTTGGGTTGTTCTTCTTTGCCTCCCCCTGATATGCTGACTCTCCCAAAGATCTCGTTGTCCTGGGAGATAGCCTCTTTGGGGGTTGATAGAGCCACTCTTGTGGTTCTAGCCATGACCAATCTCCAGTTCCAACTTCAGTTCAACTCCTCGATAGCCCACAATACCTCAAGCTCAGCATATCCAGACCCCACTGATAATCAGAAGAGAATGTGGGAAGAGTTTCTTCCCCCCTCTCCACACTCCTTTCCTACATCCCTGCATCCATTACCACCACCTTCCAGCCCCCAAGGTGTCCATATTAGAAGCCTTGGAGTCTTCTTGGCTCTGCTCCTCCTTTTCTCACTTGTCTGACCTTTCACCAAATCCCACTGATTCTACCTCAGGAATGTCATTATATCTACCTCCTTTCCATCCTAGTTGCCTTAAGTCTACCTGTTTTCATCTTCTGTTTATCCTGGTGCCCTGAGCAGTCCCCTTACTCTGTTGTCTGCCTTACTGCTGGAGCTATTTCCCAGGCATGCCTCATCCTTTCCTCCCAAACCCCCAGCCTGAAACCTATCTAGGAGCCCAACCTCTTCTCTCTACTGCTCCCTCCTTCAGCCCAGTGCACGTGCTGGACTAGACTCACTTCTCCCCTGTCCTGGCTCTGAACCTTTGCCTAAAAAGTTTTTCTTTCCTCTCTCTGCTTGGGGAAAACTCCTACTCATTCTTCAAGCAACAATTCAAATGACATCTTTGTGAAAACTCCCCTACTCCCTACTTTTACTGGCCACGACACTTGTGCAAACCTTCCATCGCTGCCCTTGTCTCTCAGTCACATGATCATAAGTTGAGGTAGAGAGAGACTTTCCCTTCCTCATTTGTCTTATTATTTGTATTTAAATGCCAGGCACATCCTAAGCCTTTAGCCAGAGTTGTTTTGAGGCACTTTTATAGAATCTATGGTGACTGTAATCAGCGTGGCACTCTAGAGTACCTTAGGATGGTCCCAAGTTCTCCTGACCATATGCTGGTACAGGCACTTTCCATGTCGTGATGGGGCTGTTTATCTCCCTTGTGGTTATGCTCTTCACCAGGAAAAGGAGAAACTCTATGTGGAACTAAAGCACATCCTGGCCCGGCAGCCTGGTCCCGAGGCTGCAGAGCAGCTGCAGATCTATCGCCACACGCTGCGGGAGAAGACCAAGCAGCTGAAAGTAAGTGGAAACCTCTGCCTTTTCCTGGCAGGTGGACAGCCGCACACCAGGGAGCTGGATGAGTCCACTGCCTCAGTTCAAGGAGCCAGTCTCCCAAATACCACATGCCACAGAGGTTGGCTTTAATTTTTTTTTAAAAAGAATTCCAGTCCCAGGAGAAGCAGACCACATCTCAGCCTTATCCCCCTGTGTCTAGACTAATAGACCCCACGGTTCTCTGTTTCTGAAAGAGGGAAGTCAGCAAATAGAGAAAAAGTTGGAGAGAGGATGATGGCAACAGAATGGAAGTTTGGGAGATGGGGTGTGTAGGGATGATCTCAAGATGAGTGAGAGATCTTGGACAGTGGGAAAGAACAGAGGAAATGTTTCAACACCATCATCCACTGAAGCGGACCACTGTGCCGAAGGAGGTTTTTCCTATTCCGTTCCACCTGCAATAAATGTTCAGAAAGCACAGGCTAGTCCCTAGCCCCCAGGGCCTTCCTTCATGACCATCTCTCAAGTAAGTCACTATGAAAGGAAGGTAAAATCATTTTAGAATTCTGTTAGCATAAATTCCCTTCTAAGTGACTTCAGAACCTCAGCTGGGGAGATGGAATGTTTTATTATTACATGTGCCTTTTAAAAGTTTTCTCAAAAACTGTTCCCATCATATCTGGAGCTGTACCTCCTAAGCAAGTGGTTAAATATTCTTGGCATGTCAGGGAAGTCTTATACACACACACACACACACACACACACACACACATACACACACACACAGAATGTAGCACACACCAGCTGAGTTCTGGCACTTGTCTGCTGCAAGGAGGGTAATAATGTTGCCTTTCTGCCTGGGGTAATGTAGATGCCCCTATAGTACTAATCCTTTCACAAATAGGACATTGTAAAATCACCTCCTCCTACTTTAAAAAGGCAGATGAAACAAATGTGTAATTAGAACATTAATTTTCAACTTATCACTCACAGTGTTTATTGCATATGAGTATCCTGAGATGTAATTTGAGTTTTGCACGAGGCATAATCTTTTGATTATTTTTATCCTTTTAAACAATTGTATATTCCAAACAAAATAAAAGTTCATTTTCTCAGGAGTGGGTATAGATTAGAAAAGCACACGTCTGTCTTCACACTGCTGTCAGAGAGCTACACTCAGCACTAGATTGCATTATATGGCTCACAGGAGCCTTCTGGTATTTTAACCCTTTAACTCAGGAAATTCAGAATTTTACTCTGATGAAATGTGACTCCTGGTGGAAGAGGTTCAGAGGTGGTGGACCTGAGCCTGTCTGCTAGTTTGTCCTCATTTTCTGGGCTTTTTTAGGAAACACTATATTCATTGTTTGGAAACAGAGTCTTTGTTCCTAATTTTTTAATGATCAAGGCAGGTTTTCTCCCAACATGAAAGTCCTATTCTTCAGCTCATGATAGCATGGTCAGAATCGTTTTCACAGCGATTAGGGGAGAGAGTGCAGAAGCAGATGAACACTCAAAAGACAAAGATCTCCCTTTTGTGCAGATTTTTAAAATAGTGAGCAAGAGGAAAAACAAATTCGTCTATTGTGTGCCTCTTAGAATGGTAGCCTTTCTTCTTTCTCTTTGGTTTCTGTGGGGTGCACCCCTAGCTTGGGCATGCTTTACACATCCTGTTCAGATGAGTAAATTCCCAGTCTTCTTGCTCAACTGAGACCAGTAGCATTTATTGGACAATACAGTGGAAGAGGCAGAAAATCAGAGTTCCTATTACACGTGCTTTAGCTCCCTGCTTCTCTGAGGTGAATGTTGCCATGCTGGGAGACAGAAGGAAACTGTGAAGAGTTCCAAAGAGCACAATAAAGAGGTGATAGACATTTAGCAGAACAGCAACCTAGAAAAGCATGTAAGCTGAATGCCTACTTAGCGGTGGTGGCAGCAGGATGATTCTGGAATAATTTTTACTAAAATCTTCAAATGAATCACTCTCCCTGGTGAGGACTTCCCTGAATGCTTTAAAAAGGCTTTGTTTGTTTGTTTGTTTATTTATTTATTTAAGATTTTATTTATTCATGAGAGAGAGAGAGAGAGAGAGAGAGAGAGGCAGAGACACAGGCAGAGGGAGAAGCAGGCTCCATGCAGGGAGCCCGAAGTGGGACTCCATCCAGAGATTCCAGGATCACGCCCTGGGCCAAAGGCAGGCGCTAAACTGAGCCACCCAGGGATCCCTAAAAAGGCTTTAAAAGCAATTTTATACTGCATGCCTGGGAGTTTTTCTGTCTCTGCTCACAATATACCTGAAACACATTATATCATTCGTGTGTGAGCCTGTTGAATGTAGCCCTAATAGTTCTTTTAAGCAGAGTTCTTTTGACCACGTTTGCCACTGGATTATGAGTCTTCAGACCTCAGTCAGATTTTTACCTCCATGCAGATCTTGGGAACTGGCAACTGGCAGAAGGGGATGGATTAGCTCTTACACTTGGGCACGGGCTTGCATCTCTAGCTTCACTGAGGTAAATGGCAGCAGGATTTTGTCTCACTGCATATCTTCTGCTTTTTTTGTTTTTTAAAGATTTTATATATTTATTTGACACAAAGAGAGAGCACACAAACAGGGGGAGCAGCAGAGGGAGAGGGAGAAGCAGGCTCTCTGCTGAGCAGGGAGCCCGATGTGGGGCTCGACCCAGGATCCTGGGATCATGACTTGAGCCAAAGGCAGACGCTTAACCAGCTGAACCACCCAGGTGCCCCTGTGTATCTTCTGCTAATGCTGCTTTCTTTGTCACGTTAGGTTTTGTCTTCAGAGTTGAATATGTATGAATCACAGAACCAAGAATACAAATATGAGATCGAGAAGCTTACCAATGAACTGATGAACTTAAAGAAGAAATACCTAGCTCAGAAACGTAAAGAATACATCCAGAGGTAAGAATTAACTAAATGTTCTTTTAATTTAGTTGTGCCTATTTCCTGCAGATAAGAAAAAAACCGGCAGAGAGTCACAGAGTCAAAGAATCTGCTGGGATAAACGAAGTCACAGGGTGAACAAATGACATTCTACAGGTCCCCACTGGTTTGCGTCAGAGCAAGATGCATGTCTCATCTGATACTAAGGCCTCTCCTTAGGACTCTAACCAGTATCTGTTATTCTCTACTCATCAGTGGACCTCACATGGAGCAGAAGAAACATAGCGTGATTTTTTCCCCCACATTGTTCTCATGGTTTGGAGATGATCATGCCATAACAATGTTTGTAAATGAGGTTCCCAATCAGGCTTGTATGAATGAAAGCACATCTATGTTTAAAATCACAGGTACTTTTGCTAAGGGGTATAGGTTTGGTAAAGCTGTTCTTTCCAAGAATGCAGTGCAGCTGTGTCACTGTAATGATGAGTTGCTCACAGATAATTTTTACCTATGTTTTAGATGATCTGTCTCTGAACTGTCTAGTAACTGATTTCAGTATCTGCTGAGGCATGACGTGAGCTCTGATTCTTCTAGGAGATGATAATTTGACTTGAGGTTATCATTTTGCATTTCAGGATGCCTACAGGTGGAAGGGTAGATGTCTCTTCATTTGGTTGTCATCATTTGCCTAATGCTAGGGTGAGAGAGTGGGCCCGAATGAATCAGTGGGTTTGAACCTTGGCTTGCTGTATGGCATTACCCAACTCACCTAGTTAATTCTGTAGTGGCTCACATCGTGTGCTTAAGTCAAGTTGGGTATTTCATCCATGTGGATATTGTGAGGACATGGTGAAAGGGGTGCCTCTGCCTGTGATTTGTTCATGGCAAACAACTATTTACAGTAACTAGATGCAAAGTGATTTGCTGGGAAAAAGTTGCCCTGCTTGTAAATCAGAATATCCCCCTCTTCCACATTTGGATGCCAGCTTCTTGGTAGAATAAAATCCTGCTAATTTCAGTGGGTCTGTCTTAACGTGTGGGTCTGGCAACTATCTGATTCAGGATAGCTGGTGGGATTTGTTACACATTCAGGCTCCCAGGCCCCATTTCCAGATGTTTGCATTCTATGGGCTCTGGATGAATTTGCAGTTCAGTCACTCCTCAGGTGATCCCCACACATGCTACAGCTGGAGAACTAGTGTATTAATGGTGTGAATCAGTGCATGTTGGGTGGAGACACTGTGGTTTCTGTTAGGACACCAGGATCATGCTGAAGGCTAGTTCCTACGTAGGGCACATGCACAGCTCAGTGGTCTTTGAGAGTTTTGATCATACACTCTTATCAGTACAACACTTTTGAACTTGTAGTCTCCCATGTATGGGCATGTACATTAAATATATATATTTGTTTTCAGTTTTAAATTGAAAATTTTATTTTAGGAGAGTTTTATACCTCCAATGTATTATAATTTGTAGAAATTGCAAGCAAAATACTATTGCCATTTTTCAGTGATTTTTAGTAAACAAATTTTTTTTAATTTTTGAAAGACAAAATAGGAATAGAATCTTAAATATCTCCTTTGCACTTCCTGATAGGTCATCTTACTCATCTTTTAGAGTACATGCATCCATTTTGGAGACCAGCAATCTAGTTCATATAGTAATAAAAAGTCAGTTTAAGGGATCCCTGGGTAGCTCAGCAGTTTAGCATCTGCCTTGCCCAGGGTGTGATCCTGGAGTCCCAGGATCGAGTCTCGCGTCAGGCTCCCTGCATGGAGCCTGCTTCTCCCTCTGCTGGTATCTCTGCCTCTCTGTGTGTGTCTCTCATGAATAAATAAATAAAATCTTAAAAAAAAAGTAAGTTTAGCTAAGTAGTTATCTTTCCAGAGCTAACTTCCCCACCTTGGCCCTGGAGTTTGGTCTGTTGACTGTACTGACTCCTCCTATACACTCTCCACACAGTTTTCTGGACACAGAAACACTGTTGAGCCAACAGAAATGCCCTTCTGTTGGTTTAGTCCCTCCCAGTGATGCATACACTAGAACTGCAATGCCACCTGGCCTAGGCCACTTCTGGATATTTAAATTAAAATGAATTACGGTTAAATCAAATAAAAAATTCAGTGCTTGAGGTGCACTAGTCACATTTCAACTACTTAATAGTCACATGGAGGTAGTGGATGCAGCATTGGGCTCTAGATAGAGAGCTTTGCCATCATTACAGAAAGTTCTATTGGATAGCACAGTTATAGAATCCTTGCTTTTACCAAAAATGCTCATTACTTATAGCCATTCTGACCCGGTTAGGGCATCATTGGTGGTTCCATTTTGGTGGGGATCCATATACTGGAGGTAGACAGAGAGAGGAGTTCACAGGAGAAGGGCAAAAGGATTCAGGGGCTGAAGGAAAGTATGCTGAGGCAAGAACAGGGGTGCCCAGAGGGTGTGGACTGGAAGGCAGGAGGCTGAAGGGGGCCAGTGTGATGGTCTACAGATACATTACAAAGGCAGTGGGCATCATCCCATCAGTTAACTTAGAGCAAGCCAGCAGCGGTTAGCAGAAGTTCCTTCAGAGAGGGAAAATTACTGTATTGAAGGCAAGAGAGGGCCAGACAAGGGGGCTGCCTGCATCCTCCAGCCATCAGGGATGCAAGTTGCCAAGTACTTGAAAGAATCCTCTTTACTGGATCCACTTAAGGCTAAAGCTTTTGTCCTACTTATGGAGGATGATTTTTTTTTTATAATAATGAAATCAATCCTGCTAAGAGACTACTGGATTGATTAACTAATCCTCTACAGGTTCTTTCCAAATGGAATAATTTAGAATAAACTCTGTGGATGTTCTCCCTACACTTGCTCTTTATAAAAGAGTAACTCATGCCATTTTTACCTTTAAGCCTTCTTTCATTTTTCTCAAACACCCTTTCATCATGTTTCTATCCTGACCTGCACCCTCACCCACCTGCCTCTGGTTCCCTTTGCCCAGGCTGGTCTAGAGTTTGCAGAACTAGACAGATTCTTTCCCCAAAGGTGGAATTCTCTCTCCTAAGGTAAATCATTTCTAGTTGTCAAGTCTAATTGGTTTTGGTCTTAGTCATTAGCTTAATTTTTATTTTTAAAGAGAGCCCAGAGATGTTTTCCATAAGACCCCTAAATACACAATAGGGAATTTGTGTAAATTTAAGCTACCTCTGCAGGAGACCTGAACGTGTGAGTATGTGAATGTGTGTATATGTACGTGTGAATGCCTGTGTATATGTGTGTGTATTTAAAAGAGATCTATGTAGGAGATACATTGTAGATTTTAGGATAGAACTTCCTTTATCTATTGCCAAATGTACTACCTTATTTGTCCTTCTTGTAACTTAAACTATATCTAATAATAACTGCTGCTTGTCTAAAGTTACAGGAAAATTTGTATTTTATGAATATCCAAGTTTGATGAAGATATCTTGTGTGTGTGTGGTAAATATTTATAAGTTTCCACTGAAACTTTGGAGTATAAAAGTTGGTAAATGATGAATTAGTCATTATAACTGAGCCAAGAGAAAGATTCTTCTGACTGATCTTTGGAACTAAACAAATATTTTATAAAACAGGAAGATGATTACAAGTCAGAAGTCTCAAGTCCATAGTGATTGAGTTATAATGAGGTCTTATGTCCACATTTAGATCAACATTAGGAGGGCACATTTAATTGTGTCTTTCCCTAATTCTATGTGTTATCAATGAACACCTAATTAGGTTTAAACAACCACCTTGTCTAAAACTGGAAGCTTTAATCAAAGCAGTTTTTAGTGGCTATCTCACCCTAGGAATTTAGAGAACACCAAACTTATAAGTGGAAAAGGATGTTAAGGAAGTTAACTTTCCCCTCCTGTCTTTCAGAAATAAGGACAGAATATCCATGGATAACACCTTCTCAATGGCCAAGCCAACTGGCCCTCGTTTTACTGGGGGTGGATTTCCCCTCAGCAAGCCATCCAAAGTGAAGTCCTAACCTGATGAAGCTCCTGGCTTGGTGCATTGGAACAGCTCATGAAATTCGCTTCGAAACATTTTGGAGGAATCTCTTTCAAATCCCTTGGATCCCAAATATTTAGAGAAATCAGTGTTCAAATTCCAGGATGAAAAGAAATGCAAAACTATCATCATCATGTACATTTAAGAGTGATGACATTCTACTCAGTCCTCATGGATATTAACAGACTGTAATTATATCATTCAATTAGGCTAATGCATTGCATAAAGCAAATCTTTTGTTACTACCACATTGATTGATTTGAAATGCACCACATATCTAGATACTCTGTTATAGATGAAATTTTGGATCTGGATTTCTCTATTATAAACATTGGTGTGTAGGTTTTACATTTTAAAAATATTTTTGAAATGCAGTGCGTTCTTATTAATAAGAATCTATTTTAATTATTCCTCATTAACAAGTCATTGCATGAGGTAAGGGAAAAAAAGACAAACTCTCAAGTATTTACGAAGTATTTTGAGAATGATTTCTATGTGGAATTTCTTTTCAGGCCTGGGGTATGAAAATCTTTTCCAAAGAGACATACTAATAAATACTTCATCATAAAAAATAAAAAAGAACCTTTGTAGAGATTTTGATCTTTGCTTTGGTAGAGTATGTAATTAAAGTTTAAAACTACTTTGAGAAATGTTTAACATAAAGATCTGATTCCGTGGAACCAAGACTTTAAAATGAGGGGCTTGGGCTGGCATCCTCTGAAGGCCTGGTGTTTCTAAGACCTCCCACTTGGAGAACGGAGTTATGTAGGACAAGGATCTGTTTGGCTTTCAGGCTTCAGGCCAACATTAGAGTCATTGAATCCATTGTATTGTCTTTCTGTTGAAGCCACAATTATGTGGACCTCAGTTCAAAGTTCCCTCATTAAGAGGGTCCATTCAGGAATATTATGGGAGGAAAATCTGGTCATCTCTCTCACAAGAACTTGACCTCTGCAATTTTTAAATTATAGAGGAGTAAGCAGCTCAGAGATAAGGACAATATAAGTGGATCATTCCATTTTGCTATGGGACCAAATTTCCCACTGCAAGGAGCAGGAGACTTAATGACCCCAGAATGGTTGTTCAGATTATAGAGAGGTGAGATTTTAGAGGGATCATCTGCATATTTTGCCGTCTTTCTCAGTTCACCCCCAGAAACAGATCCGAGGTAGTGATGGCTGTGAGGTCATTTATTATGAAGTGATCTCATGACTAACAGTGGAGGAATAGATCAGAGAAGGGAAAGAAATCATCTAGGGTGCAATCTCAAGTCAAGTTCCATGGTGGAAGACTTCAGCTACATTTCGCAAGGGGGCTCTGGAGACAATGGAATCTCAGCTCAGAGTTGTCCCTGTGGGGGAAGAAAGTTATAAGGCAGCTGGGATATTTATAACCTCCATGCCATGCTGGCAATCATTGGTCAAGGACTGCTCTGAAGGAGTCCTTCTGTCTGCAGGCGAAGCAGGGTCTGGCTGCCTGGGGGCGGGCGTGAGACAGAAATGGTGTTACTGTCAGCAGTGAAAATGCTAAGGGCTGGGGGAAGGGGGTTAGGCAGTGCCAAGCTCTGTTGCTTTTCCTGCATGGTTCTGGGAGAAGAAGGACAGATGGGAATCACCCTCCACTGTAGCTTATGACCCTGTGGTGAGGTGTGGTCATCAACTTTCTGTGTGTCATATAGGAGTGTGGAGGACAGGTATGGACCCTGGAGAATTTGCCAAGGGAAGCTTAAACCTAAGAATCACAGTGGGACCATTTCCAGTTTTGAAAATCACTGGTGATATCTTACAACAGGGCCATCTTTCGTTTAGACAAAAGACTTGCAGGTAAGGTAAAGCAAGGTAGTTAATACACATGTACACCACTGGATGTTTTCCAGTCCATTCAAAGACATTTTTCAGTGTATCTATAGCCAACTTCCTTCTGAGTCCTTGGGTGGCTTTATAAGAAGTTCACTTCTTTACGGAAAAGGGCTCTATGATTCTTGATCTATCCTAGCATGGTGAAAACTTTGGAGGCAGATGCTGGGTTTGAGTTCTGGCATATCATAACAATGAGTTGTTTTGAGGATTAAATGAATAAATGCAGAGGTAGGATTAGAACAATATCAGGCACATAGTAACTTCAATGAATATCTGCCATTATTATTGCTATTACATAGAGATAACTTATGTTTTGAAATTAGAGAACAATGTTTGTGACAATATAATGTGGGGATGAAGTTGGATCTGGTAGTGTGATTTATAGTTGAATATCTTGCAGAAATGCCACATTGGGTACCTCATGAAAAATTCTGTATATATTTTTTGTAACTGTGATCTGGGGACAGACTCTTCACTTCAGAAATCAGAGCTTCCAGCCAGAGGGAAAGAGCTGGTGGTCTCTAGCTGCCATCTCTTTGTTTTTCTCCATGGGATAGAGAAGGGTGGTCAGCTTCTGTGGATGACAGAGGTCCCATGAGCCAAGATGGCACAGTCCCCAGGAGATGACAGGGCAGCTCAATATGGCTCAGTCTGCTTATGTTCATGCAGAAGGAGTAAGTTAAGGCTTGAAAAGGTAGAAGGTAATGCCACTGCTTCTCATTTACTGCACACCCTGATAGCCAAGGGTATTATAAGCAATAACTATTTAGGTGTAGGTGTTACCACCATAGCCACCGTACAAAAATGAGTTGTTAAAAACACTGAGATTTGCAAATCATTAAAGATAACTGTGAACTCACATTGCGCTGAGGTGCTTTTAAAATCACAAATTTGAACTGCATTCTAAAGCAACATTAGGAGATCGTATAGTAGCATCATTTTACCCTGGGATTTTCAGAGTTTCAGAGAGAAGTCATGTTGCTAAACTAGCCATTGACTCTCCACTGGGCTGATGGGGAAGCTGGTAGGGTTTCTCTGTGGATGGAGAGAGACATGATAAAGGGAACTCGCTGGTCATTATTTGCTGATCATAGCTTCTCAGCAACTGCTCTTATAGACAGGTTTTTATCATGCTTACCTCTAAAGAAATTGCCTAGAGCAAAGGTTTGTTGCTGTGATAAGCCATAGAGACGGAGGTGGTTATACTAAGAGGAGGCAGTAGCAAATCTCTGGTCATGGGCTGTAATTCTGCTATAAAAACTTATCCGGGGTTGATAATTATCATTTGATCTCCTGGCTTGCTCAGTCAGATTCTGAAGTTTGACTTAGGCCAAGATACCCATCAGGAAATACTGTATAATGAATTTTGAGCAATGTGGCATTCAGGGCCTGGACTACTGGAGGAAAGATACTAGGTCTCTTAGTAAACATAATCAATTATATGGAGATCTAGTTGGAATAGGAGCAAAGGGAGGGCATTTTTAAAATTTATTTATGATAGTTACAGAGAGAGAGAGAGAGAGAGAGAGAGAGAGGCAGAGACGTAGGCAGAGGGAGAAGCAGGCTCCATGCACCGGGAGCCCGACGTGGGATTCGATCCTGGGTCTCCAGGATCATGCCCTGGGCCAAAGGCAGGCGCCAAACCGCTGCGCCACCCAGGGATCAAAGGGAGGGCATTTTAAAATATTAAAATGGTAAAATAGTTTAAAAATATATCTCACTATTTTCTTTGTAGTGGATGGGAAATATTTTTATGGCATTATCCATTTTTAACTCCTAATTCAATGCTGTTTTAGTACACCATTTCTCATATCTATTATTTAAAAGTTCCATTAAGATTTTGAAACCCGTTAGAATTTTATAACAGTATGAAATGTGGTATCAACAGGGTACCATTTTTCTTTTTTATAATTAAAGATTTTTCCCCTTTTATTTTAAAGTGCCTGATTGAAAATATGGGTAGAAAGTTAGAAGATACAAATGAGCAAAAAGAAGAAAAGGGCATCATCAATTTCACCATCTATTGATAACTGGTGTTTTCTGGGGCCAATGCTCCTCTCATTCATATGGGTTGGCAGTTCCAATTGTTCATGCCCATCATTTGTTCTGACTGATTGATGGTTAAAATTCCCAACTGTTAAATGTTTTGAATGCTGCATTTGAAATTCTACAGTTTCATAATCTCGAGTATATATTTCTGGACTTTTAAAATAAGCATATGTAAATATATTTTGTTTTTTTTTTAAATCAAAGATATAATTGAGATATAATTTACGTATAACAAAAGCACATATTTTAAGTATAAAGGTTAGTAGGTTTTGCCAAATGCATATACCCAATAATTACTGCCACAATCACCACCTTCCAGGAGTGTCCTTATGTCCTTTGGCATTAATATTCACAGTCCCCATCCAAACTAAGCAACAATGGATCAGTTTTTCATCATTATATATTAGCTATATCTTTCTTAGAATTTCATGTAAGTGGAATCATACAGCATTTACTCTGTGCCTGTTTTTTTTTTCATGTAGTGTGCTTTTAAGATTCACCTATGTTGTTATGTGTATCAGGGATTTACTCATTTTTATTGTTGAGTAATATCCCATTACATTGACATAATACAATTTGTCTATGGATTTACCTGTTGATGGGAATTCAGATGATTTCTAGTGTTTAGTTATCATGAATCAAGTTGCTCTGAACATATATGTACCAGTCTTTATGTGAGCAAATATTATCATTTCTCTTGGGTGAATGCTGAGGAATGAAATGGCTGGATCAAAAGGTAAGTGGACATTTATCATGGTAAGAAACTGCTGGACTATTTTCTTAACTGATTGGACGATTTTACCTTCTTACCAACAATGTGTGTCAACTGTGACTACTCCAGTCCTTGTGAATATTCAGTATTGTCAGTATTTTTAAGCCATTCTTTTAGATACATAGTGGTATCTGATATTTAAATTTGTGTTTCCTGATAATATCAAGCACTTTTTCATGTGCTTTTGGTCGTTTGCATGTGAAGTGTCTTCAGATCTTTTGCCTATTTTTTTATATTAGTTTGTAGAAGTTTTTTGTATACTCTGGATACAAAGCCTTTGTCAGACAGATGGATTGC